AAATTGCAATTTCCTTATTAAAAATGAAGACAAACAGTAGCTAAAGTTAAAATAGAGGTAATATTAAAAAAATTCTAAAAAAATTCCTAATGTCTGAATTCTTTATTTCGACAAATGTTAACTTTTATATTGATTTTATTTGATCTCAGTTGTATAAATAAATTATAAATGGCGTTAAATATTAAGGAGTAATGTTATTTAATTCGTCGTATAACGTAATGTACCCAATAATAAAGTCTTCGCTAATGAAAGTTTTTTTTTTATCCCTGTAAACGTTACAGCAATGAAACTTGTCAGCAGCGAGCTTATTGGAATATTATCATGGTCATATTTGTTTAGTAAATATCATTAAATCAAACGACAATATAAGTTACAAATTTAATTCCAGGAGGAACTTTTAACACGTGAATTAGCATAAAGACTATCTCTCAATCTGTTGACAGCTGTCAAAGAGTATAGAATAAAACAAACACTATAACGTTACTGTACTATCAAAGATCAAATAATCATTACTGTTTTGATTTATGCTTTGACACTTAAACATATTTGTTCGGTACAGATCGTACTGGTTCGTCACATTCGGTGGCGAACATAATTTAAATTTCGCGCCTCGCGTTTTTGCGGGTAAGCGCGCCTATTTTATTTTTCTCGCACGGGCAGGTAGATGGAGAAACCCTCTCCACAACGGACGGCCGCGGGGCCTGCGGAGAGGGGTGCGAAAAAAGGTCGGAATCGAGCAGCCAAGCGGGACGGTCGCGAACACTTGTGCGGATTAGAGTTGCTCTTTGTATAACGCGAAGACACAACAGGTGTGTCGATTTTTGTAGCGAACGGGGTCGCTAAATTCGGTTTCGCGTTCGAAATTACTGGTACATCTTCAGGCAGCATCGCTCTGCCTATAGACTTGACTGAACTAGACTTTCGAGTCGATTGACACTGACTGAGACAAGACACCTGCAGGAGGTGAGGCAATTCATCGAGCTGGTGAGTACCATTTTCCCCTTTACGTTTACAATATTATGCCCTCCGGTGCAATCGTAGTTCAAGGGTAGGTTGTGCCGCGGGACCCGAACCCCATTGTACGGCACAAATCGATGGTAGCAGAGCGTGGTTAGGTGACACGTAGTTTATAACCGCGTGGTTATATCCGGGTTATGCGTGTTATTCGGGTACGTATTGCATCGGTTGGCATAATATTGTAACGTCATTACCGCGCGGAATATAACAAATGACCGCTTTTTTGTAATATTCCATACGCCGTACAATATAAAAGTTAGGTATCATTTGGTTTGTTTTGTAAAAATTTATGTTGTACGTTTTGTTGCGTAACATTATTAACACGGCGTTTAGGGTTCGGTTATTCATTTTGTATTATTTAGATAATTAGTGTTTTTTGTAACGGTTTTTTCTAGCGTGTTTTAAATAAGGGTTTTTTATATAACGTTTTTTTATTATTAGGTTAATTTGTTGTTGTTCTTTATTTTATAACGGTTTATTTTGTTTACATTACGGTTATTTTTTAATTAGGGATTTTTTATTACGGCTTATTTTTTCATTTGATTAGTGGAGTGTAGTAATTTATCTACCCACTTTTAAGTATATTTTTTTAACGGCTATTATTATTCAGCGGAATTTTTGATAGCGTCGTTATTTTTCTATCTTCGTTTTGTTTATGTTTTTTTGAAATTTTTAATAATGGCCGGCAAATATACCGCACGAATAGCAGGCGTTTTACGATGGCTCCGCTCTGCGGTTTTAAATATTTCCAGGCCGGGTCGTGCGCAGGCCCTGCTGGCTAGGTATCAGGTTTTGGACGACCAAATGGCGGATTTTTATGATGCGTACCGCGCGATTCTTCAGCTTGATTTGGATCGGACGCAATGACAAAGATTAATGCAGATGTTGATCAGGCTGATGATCTGGCTGATCAAACAATGGTCGCGTTCAACAATTTGTTCGAGAGCATTGTTAACGGTCGTAGGGATTTGACCCCGGCTCAGAAACTTGCCTATTTGTTGGGGTCGTTAACGGTTGAGGCTAAGGGCCTGATCCAAAATTTAGGCCTCGTGGATGGCAACTACGAGAACGCTCGGGATCTACTCAAACGTAGGTATCAGAATGTTCGGCGGATAGCAGATAGCCATGTGGCTGCTATTTTAGGCTTACCGCGAATATCGGTCGCGCAGTCGTTGCGCACGCGGCTTCTTAACCCTTTGTTAATTGCCGTGAATGGTCTCAAGGGTTTGGACTTACCTGTGTCCACATGGTCGTTTTTGTTGTTACATATAATTCTGTCTAAATTACCACACGACCTACGGAATAGGTTCGAACTGGAATACGGTGGGGACTCCGCCACTCATCTCCCGACGTTCGACGAGTTAATTTTATTTTTGGAGGATAAGTGTCGTCGTACGGAGAATGTTCCCC